TGATCTCGAGCGTGCGAAGCACCAGTCGGTCGCCTGCCGCCAGATCTCGCGGCCGCCGGCTGAGGGCGCACAAGTACTCCGTGCACACTGGACTGGCCCACACCATGTCGAAGCTGCCCAGCAAGCGCTCGTCCAGCTGCATCAGGGTGGGCCGAAATTTGGGGTCCAGGCGACCTCCCAGCCTTCAGCCTCGAAGGTGCTGCCAATCGAGCCCGTTCCGCTGAAGAGCTCGAGAAGCCTCGGCATCCTCTTTGCCCGGATCGCACAGGAACCACACAAAGGCGACGAGGCCCGCAAGGAGGCAGGCCAGCTCGAGGGTGCAGAGGGCGGCGGTGGGCTCCTCAGGTCTTGGTTGAACGAGTGCTGCATTTTTCTACCATACTCGCGCAGACAAGAGGTCCGAGCGCGTGGCTCTGGAGCTGCCCACATAAAGGTGCCTAAGCGTGAAGTGCTGGCTGGAGGTGTCGAAAAGTTCAACGTGCCCGATCAGAGTGAGGCCCTGGCAGCTTGCGTGTGTGATGGCGTGTGTCAGGCGCGTGTACTTGAACAGGTCCTCTTTTTCCGAGCTGCGTCCCATCCTCTAGCTCCACGGATTCGCTGCTGCACGTCTTCACTGTGACGAAGGTAGATCTTGCCGCCTGCGCCCACGAGTCGGAGGCCTGGCCATATCCGCGGGTTCGGCAGGAGAGTATTCAAAGACTGCTGCGCCCTCCGGAGCCTTGGCTTGATTCACCCACCCATTCAGCTGAATGCGATGCCGGTGACTTATCACCAAAGCTGTGTCTGGCACAAGGCCGTGTCTTTCTGGGAATTTCACCCAAGCCTCCCGGAGCGCGCTGCTCAGCGGTGTTTCGTCAGGCTCATCAATGCGCAGCCAGCGCAGAAAGTCGAAGATGACATGGTCGCTGCGTTTGTTCTCCACGAGCTCGTGCCTGTAGCCACGTGCCAGTGTCTTGATAAGCTGCGCTTGCCTAAGTTCACGCAGAACCTCCGTGCCGGCAAAGCTGTCTAGCGCAGCAGGCAGCTGACGGAAGTCGCCTAGCAGCAGGAAGCGGACACGGGTGTTCAGGGCCAGCAAGCAATATCGTTCCAGAGCGCGGCGTCCAGCTGCGTGATTTGCGCACGAACCTTCGGAGCCAGTGGTCGGCTGTGCGGGCCCCCTGGCCGATGTTCTGCACGGAACTGTGCGTCTTGGCCACAATGTGCGCCGCCTGCCCTTGTTCCCGCAAGGCTGCCACGATTTTCCGAGCTAAGTGGGTCTTGCCAGTCCCCGGTAAACCGGTGAGCAGCAGTGAGCCTCCTGCCAGACAATGCGTCAAGGGGTCGGGGAAGTCGGTCCACTCCAGCTCGGGGGGCATGGCGTGCTCAGGGAGCTGTGGCTCTCTGTAATACCCTCGCAGGGGCTTGCCCTCCTCGACCCGGTAGACTTGGCTTCCGTCGGGGTGCTTCAGGTCTTGAAGCTCTTGCAGCAGGTGCTGGTGCTTCTTCGGCAGCTGCTGGACCACCACGCAATCGGTTTTGACGCATTTGATGTAGGAAGATAGCGCGGCCCGCAGCTGATGCTTGATCCTGGCCACGGCCACGTATTCAGCCGCCATCACAAAGTCGTGCAGCGGCCTGTGGCTGGCATTGCTCATCAGATTGCGGATGAACACGAAATCCCAGTACTCTGCAAGCGGCTGTTCAGCTATTTGCTTCTGGGCCGCCTCAGGCTTCTCCTCTGCCGGTTGCAGGTCTGACGCGAAGACGCTGAACACGCGCCGCTCCTGGCACCCGTAGCCATCGAGCTCGTTTTGGCTGCTTCGTGCGGTGTACACCACGTCCATGTTGCG